TAGATTTCAGTTCAAAATACAAAGCCATGTTTGTAAATCTTTCTCATCATGTCAGTTTAACTTATTGCAAAATACGCATCCATGACTGATTGCAGATAGCACTAATAATTAAGAATAAAAATGTGTAAAGCCTGCATAAATATCAGTTTCTGGTTTTACTGGTGAATGACTGCCTATGAGTTTGTATTGAGAAAGCTACAGATTCTGATTTTTATGAGCCTATTCATATAGAAAGGTTCAGACTCATTTGGTTTTCCTTTTTGTCCTAAACTCCATGGAAACAAGACCACTCTGGCTCATCACATAATTTGCACAATTTTCCTTGGTGAAAGAGTGAATAGTGCATAGGATCACAAAATTTAAAAGTTCGACTTCTACCTCTTGAAAATACTAAACAGTAATTACTTGGCCTTAAGGATTTCTAGGAATAAATGTAAGTAAACAAATGCATTACAATCTATTACATCATTGCAGCTGAAATTTTTAAAAATGTCATTTTTGCTGTCTCCAGGCAGCATCCCAATCATTTTAATCAGATTGCAATCATTTGACCAATTCTATGCTGATTATTAAGTGAATTGAGAAGCATGCAGGGGTCATGTACAGCAGAGCCTATTTGTTTTTAATGAGTTTCCAAAATTTTATTTTGTTATTTTGCTTCATTTGCCCTCCAGGCTCATTATCTCACTACTGGTTGCCAAACCAACTTCTAGTTTGTGGATTATCCCATTGAGGGGTGTGTTCCCTCTTTTGAGAAACACTGCCTTAATGTTTACCCATAATACTATTTTAAGGGATCTTTGATGAAAAAGAAATCATAAATGTTTACCTTTGGGGCTTACCAAGACAGACATAAAACACTTCTAGCACACTAAGTATTTCTTGAGCCATCAACCACACTGCAGACGAGCCTCTTGTCTTCAAAAAATCTTTAAGGCTACAGTAAGTGTTCAGTATGTTTGCATAAGAAAACACCCACAGTTCAGGTTCCTTTAAGTTTCAAGCAGCTTCATAACAATTATTATATTGCATCATTTGTCTCTTTTTAGTGTAGGTACTGTGATTTTTCTGGCTGTCAGTGAATAGTTCCTTTATCTTAACCCAACAGAAGTTTCAGAGGCAGAAGTACTTGGGCCCACTGTACCCTAGGCAAGGCGCAGCACATATTTGCTGCTCTGACACAACATTCTCTCAGTGCTTCTCTGAAGTAGCATTATTTTGAATTCACACAGTTCTATAACCAAGATATATTAATGTTACTTTCTTATTTTAAAGCTTTCTGTGGTTTACTATGTCCATCCAAATGTGCTTTATTTTGGATTATTACTGTTCCTTTTTAATCCCTCCAAACAGTAACAGTCTTTAATGAAACTTACAGGCCAAGATTTTATTTCTGTAAACATTATAAGCTGTTGAATTTGAACTCCCATGCTAGGAAATGCTTTTACTAGTCTCTTTTTATTATTTTATTGATCATTTTTGTCATTCAGTCATAAGACTGTTATTATTATTACTATGAATATTTTTAAAGGGAGAAGAGCAGTAAATAAAGAAAATAGGGGCTTTTTTTAAACATTACTGTCATATTCAAGCATAACCCCATTAACTACCTAGCACATGTTTAAAGATAATAATGTGTGTGTGTGTGTGTGTGAGATCAAGGCCCAATTTCAGTATAATTCCATTGTTCAGAACATAGAACAACAACATGCAGCTGAGGTATCTTCCTAAATCTTGTTCCTCCAATGATAGAAATCAATAGTTTTAACAGATATCCATCCCTGCATGGATGCAATGGTTTGACATTCGCTTTCCTTTTCTTCGGGGTTTTAGCAGTTCTTAAGTCTCCTTCTAAGTACAACTTTGTTTATTTAAGAATAATTTGGCTTCTTTTTATAGGTTTTCCTCCTAATATTCAGAATTTGCTTTCTCCATTACATCCTACTTGATATGATTATTAAAACAAAGATTCTTATTCTAATATGTAATACCATGCCCGTCATTGCTATTTTCAAGGTGAACTCATTAAATTAAGGAGTTGGAATTTTACTAACATTTTCATCAACACTTGCCAGTAATATCATCCATAAAAAAATCAACCTTTCTCCCTATTTTTACTTCACGTTACTTATCAGCTATTTCCTTCAAATTATCTGAAAAGTGGTCAAAAACAAATTCCCTAAGTTCAGACTCAGATACTGAATACTCTTTGGCCCTTTGTATTTTGAATATGCAAACCACTTCTAGCATTGCAGAACTGTTTTAGAAAAGAAAAAAAAACCATAAATGCAAATTAAATTAACTGTATTTTCAGCATGCAAACTAGAGATTTGATGAAGTGGATCTGTATATCAATATCAGTAATGTGGTATTCTATGCATGATGTTTATAAGACAAATAACTATTTGTGTACCATGCACTTGTTATAGGCAAATGAAAGGTTAAAAACAGGTCATTTATACAGCACATTAAAGCCTTTTCCTCTCATTCTCCTGATTAGTTTCTTGGTATATCAAATAATCATAAAAATACTTCGCATCTTTTTCTACATACCAAACAAACACTGCTTTTAAGAAGTGAAATTAAGGCTCATACTTTTTCTTAGGGCTGCACAGCTCCTTCAATACCATCAAAACTGAACTCCATGATTCTACAAGCATTTAATTTCCACTTCCAAAACATAAAAAAGCTATATTTTCAAAATGTATTTATTTCAACAAACTTGCTTTTCTAATGCAAAATCCAAAAGACTGCCCCCATTTTCTTTTATATCAACATATCCTTACACCCACTTAACCATATAGCCCTATGAAACGTAATATAATTTCACCTGAACATTACCATGGCCTTGTCTCAATAAATTCCCCTTTTTTTAAATTAGGAAATGTGTACCTATCAGCTGTGTATGTCTGGTAGTGATGATATAAACCTGTCAGCTAGAGGAAAGCTCCATGAAGTAACCTGTCATCACTCTTTTCCTGAAATAAACTACAGCTTTCTGGGACTTCTAGAACGCATCTAGTGACAGAAGTTATTGCAATAATAGGGTATCCTGCATTAGCACAGGTGCTTTTTTGTGTTTCTACTTCTTCTGGACTCCTCATCATGCCTATATGAATAATGGAACTCATGTACAGGTTCATCTATTAATGGCTTGTACTAGAAGTAAAATACCTTGGTGACTGAAATCATGAAATTATGCTTTGGACTTCAGAGTCAAAAAAAAAAAGAAACTATTTTAAAAATGTTTTTTCATGTAAAAATTTGCTTTTGTTCACAGTCTCTCAGTCCCACCCAGACCAGCAATAAATTTGGGGCTATGTAATTTCTAGATTCATACATCAAATCTTTCCATAGGCCTTTACCTAGAAACAATAATGTTCTATATAGATCTGCAGCCAAAAGTAAACTTGATACATATATCACATATCTACAAATTATGTGTACAACCTATTCTTTTGTTATTGATCAAAGTAGACAGCAGGAACTCAAGACTATATTCCTGTCACTGTGAGCAGGGACATGTTTTAAAGCCATTCTAAAACAAGACAGCTAGAAATAGTTTACTTGTCTTTTGCAGTGTTTTACTCTATATAAGATTTTCTCCATGCTAATAAGTGATGATTCTCCCTGCAATGATCTTACATAATGATTCTAGCTTTTTATTTTCAAAGAATGGAGGCAGCAGTCTGCTGCAATCCTCTTATCACCACAGATCAAGAATTCCCACTCAGATCTCAACTGCTCTTATATATGTCCATTAATATTAAAATGTCTTGTTGCCATGCACATCAAAATCCACTGAAGATTATAAAAGATTTTTCTGTCTTCCAGTCAGGTTTACTAACTGTTGCTATCCACATGTGTCTATTTGATTCACTTGAATATAAAATCACATACACACAATGAAGTCAAAAAGGCAAAAACTGCAGTTAGACCACAGCAATATCTGAAGCATTCCTTTTTACCATGATAAGGTGACTCTTAGAGCTATATTTCAATAGTTATTCAAATTATTTTTATCAAAAGAAGCCAGAATTCAGCCTGAAAAAATGGGATTTGATAGCAGCAGAAAGAAAACTGATCAGTTGTATGTCCATTGGTGTTTTACAAACAAGAGATGAACTAATGTCGTATAATAGCAATGTTCATATTTTGTTGGCATTAAAAGTCTATAAAAACATAAACTGATAGGTATTGATACTCACAGCTCTTAATAAAGCAACAGAATTTGATGGGAAAAATCAAGCGCTTGGTATACCAGAAAAATATTTAAAATGAAAGCCACATTTAATCAATTATATATAAACCCAAATATATAATTTAAAAAAAAAAAAGCAGTTAAGATTACATTTATTCTTCTTTATTAAAATTTCTAGTTTGCTTCTTCCTTCAAACTTCAGTTTGCTGAGTTAAAAAGCTGAAAAATTTTATCTGCACTGGAGGCAAGGCAGCCCACTCTTCTGGTTGACAGAACATGTTTCCCAGGCAAAGGGTTTATTTTTAAATAGCTTTTGTGAGTACAAAGTATGTTGGAGTGCAAACTCTTTTTGCCTCCAGCTGAGGCAATTTGCTGCTATTACAGACACTGTTTCAACACCTATACACCATGCCCTTTCTGTCACCTGAGTACCAAACTCATTTTGATGAGGGACATAAAACACTGCAGAACCACTGACTGAATGTATTTCACTATTTTTCTCTTTTTCTAATGCTGAGAAAAAGTAATTTCCTAAGCAGAAAAGCAAAAAGGTTCCTGATGTTTTCATGCATTTCTAAAAAGTGTTTATCATTTATTCCTCTCTAATCAAAAAGCTTACATTTTTGTTCATAACTACAGGCTTGTCTGAATTTTGAACAAGAACAGGCAAGAATCTTCCCAAAAAATCCTTTTTGTGTCATTTTTATTTCCCTTTGATTTTGTTTTAAATGAAGATTCTATCATTAATCATATGAATTGCAAAAGAAGATAATTTGCACACAGAAAGATAATTACATACCTTATATTGGATAAGGAGACCATAAACTAAAATATTTTTCTTTTTAGTTTCTCTTGCAAATTTCTTGATTGTAGTTAGGTCTTCCATCCCAATGCTGAAAGAATTATTTTCTGGAATATCCAAGTGCACCTGCAAAAGAACAGATGAGGAAAAAACAAAATCCACTTTTTCCATAGTGTGCCAGTTTAGACTGATGGCTTTTAGTATCTGATTTTTATGTGTTAAGCACACATAAAAATACAGACTAAAAAAGGCTTTTCTTAGCTTCTATTTACTACTGAATTCCACTGCTTACACATTTAGGGACATGAAAACTATTTTTTTCAAAGCAGAAGAAACCAATATGCCAGAACATGTTGTGCATCTTAAAAATATTCAATTAAATTTGAGAACAAACAACATTCTTTTATAAGCTCTAGATTAACTTTCAGAGGAGTTTTTTTGCTTGGGTTTTTTACTATCAGAGGACTATAGAATACACGTGTCTTTCGTAAGTATCTTGAAGGTTTTCAAGACAAAACTAAATTCTTTAAAGTTTAATTGGAAATGTACTATCCTTTCAGTATAGCAAATTAGTTGCTTTTATTGGGTTAATTTCAAGATAATACTTCAAGTTTAAAAAGCAGAAACTACCTCAAAAGAAGCCTGAGCCCTTGGGCAGGGAAAGGCAGGTCTCATTTCCATCAAGGATGCTGCACAAACATGGCAGGTCTTACAGGACGTGAACTGAGTTTAAGAAGTGTTTGGACAACACTCTCAGGCACAAGGTGTCATTCTTGAGGTGTCCTGTGCAGGGCCAAGAGTTGGACTCAATCATCATTGTGGGTCCCTTCCAACTCAGAATATTCTGTGCTTCTGTAACTGGTATTTCAGGGAGGTATCAACCAACTAGCTCAATCCTTTCCCAAGTCTTACATATACCACATTTTAATCAGCTTCCCTCCAAAACTTCTATTAGCTGTAGAAATCAAAATTAAGTATGATGATTTGTACATATAAGGTTTCAATGTCTATTAATAGCAGAAATACCTTTACTCCTAAAAGGAAAATTATTTCAAGTTCTATTTGTACATTGTGTTCCATTTACACTGACAGAAAATAGGTCCCCAGTCATTTTCCCTTGGAGCACTTTTTTAAAAAAGCTGTTTATTTCCTAAATGCATACTTACCAGAAGCAAAGCTATTGTCTTCTACTACACAAGCAGAGATTAATTTTCACACACACTCATTATTTCGTTATTTTCTACCCAAAACAAGGCTAAGTAAGTACTACTCATTTACAGCTATTTACAAGAAATTATTAAACCTATTATTTTGAGAGAACTTCACCTAGCTCTTCTTTACCATTAACCTCTTTAACAGCTTTGAAAAGAGATTTTTCTTAAACTAACTTTGGTACTGAAATGCAAATAATTGCAACTACAGAGCTGAAGTACTAGCATTCCTTTCTTTCTAACCCTAAGCAAAGCAACAACATAAAAATCAAATCCATTCATACCCTTTACAAACATGAAAATGTATTGCTCAAAAAAGCAATGTCAGTTTAAGAATACGATTTGTCAGGTTACAGCATAATTGAAGATACTGCCTTGATGCAAACGAATAATTGCCTCAAGTTTACCTCTGTGATGCCTATTTCTCCTGCAACATTAATCTTCCCTTTTGTCCAGATAGAGTGATCCCATTGCTGCTTCAGCTTACAAATGCCATGAAACAATCCAGTCAGGCACCAGGATAATGGATAGACTTTGAATCTGGGGCAACTGATAGGTAGGAATATGAAAAAAGTCATCGTGTCCAGTGCAAGCCCATCTTTTCATTGGATCAATGCGCACTGGGCTGGTTAAACAGAGAGTCTGGCACAATAATAACACCTGTCATTTCTACAACTAAAGAAGATGACTATTGGAAGGGAAAAAAAAACCTTTTTTCCTTAATTATCATATTATTATGAAGAAATTGCTTTTTGTCATTAAATCAAAGAATAGACAAGAACTTTCCAATTACCCAAATACAATTGTATTAGACTGTTCCTAGTTATGAGTTTGGAATAGAAGCAGTTAGCTGCTCTCCCCATTTATTCTTTCAAGAGTTTTACTTTTGAGAGGAAAAAAACATGTTTCCCTTACAGCTGGTATCTAAGACCTATGCATTTAAATGTCAATATACTGCTTAAAATTCTGATTCACATTTGTCTGAGAACTATTAATATTTCCTTTTACATTGAAAGAAAGTGTACTACAGGATTTTTCATGAACAATTATTTCAGTTATTATGTTAAAAAGGTATATATACAGGAAAGAAGAAAGTTGATGAAAATCCCCCTCATGAGCCTTAGAGAAGAGGACACCCAACACTGAATTTAAATTAAGACTGCTGAAGGAATTTTCTATCTACCATAACATCTGTAATGAGTTTTAGAGCTCAGAAGTTTAAAGGACTTCAATACTTTCCAGTGATTAATAGGAGACAATTATTTGTTAAGCTAATTCTTGGCACTCTAAACATACCTCCAAGATCTCCTCTTCTTCCCTTCTGGTATTTCTAAAAGATAGTGTGGTACATCCACCAGATGCCCAAGTGCAATTAGGCAACATAATTTTAACAAATGTATTTCTATCAGTGTTTTAAATATTCACAACTTTTATGAAGTTGTGAGATTTTCTTCCAATGTCTAGTTCTTAGAAATTTCAAGTAGTTGTCAGAAACAACTGATGCATGTGGAGTATAATAAAGGGATTAAATGTATTATTTTCTCCTACACCTCTTTTAAAAGGAGTCTACCTAAATAATTCATGCATGCTTCAGGCTGTTCAAGCAACTTTACTTTCATTAAAAATGGTTCTGGGTTCTACAATGACTTCAGGATCTAGTATCTCAGGGGCAAAACCCGAGTTTCATGGGGAGATAGCGTAAGAATTACTTGCATTCCTATTTCTTAGGAATATTTATAGCTACAAGTATTAAACCATTTTCACATTCCCAGCATTACACTCAAAAAAGTATTTAATTGAAAGTCCTGACTGGAAAGTGCTATCAATTGGGCAAAATAAGTATGCTTTTGACACCTTAGCATTAGCTAGTTGATAAATAATTCCAACTTTATCTTCACACTCAAAATTCAACAAAGACAGAAATGGTTTTGTATATTCTTGCTAAAGGACTAATGAAAACTAATGGAGTGCAAAAAAAAACTATTTTACACATCCAGTGGCTTTGTAAATGACCAACAGAATTGGAGATATGTAATTGCTCTGATTATGAAAGGCAGAAGTAATTTATCTTTGATGATTCAGTAAAATAAGGTTTTACCCTGAAGTTCCTCAGAAACAGGGTCAAGAAAATAAGAAGGTCTAGAAACAAAGAGCTAAATATTGATATTCACAGGATCACAGAAACTCACTCCAAGAGAACAGCATACAATAGGTGAAGCTATAATAGGTATGATAGATTAGGCTCTACAGAAGGATCTGGCCAGGCTGGATCCATGGGCTGAGGCCAAGGCTAGAAGGTTTGAGAGGGCGAAGTGCCAGGTCCTGAACTTGGGTCACAACAACCACACCCAGCAACACAGGCTGGCAGAGTGGCTGGAAAGGTGCCCAGTGGAAAAGGACGTGGGGGTGCCGGTTGGCAGTGGCTGAGCAGGAGCCAGGGTGTGCTCAGGTGGCAAAGAAGGCCAAGACATCCTGGCCTGTATGAAAAACAATGCAGCATCAGGACCGCACATGCATCGCAAAAAGGAAAGCCACTTAATTCTGTTCCAACTGAGCATCCAAGCACAGCACAAGCTTTGCAGCATCCCCACAGAGATAGAGTACAACAGCTAGGCAGGAGTTAACAGTTCAGTACAACCAGCCAGCCACAATGAGCCTTTCACAGAAATATATAACCAATAAACTGTCATTTGCTAGTGGCAGTTTGTTTTCTGACAGCATGCAGTACATTTGTTGAAGTGAAAATGAGTTTCTTTGGAGACCAATTTACAGTTTGATTTTACAATTTTATTCTGAGTTAGCAGCAGTGCAAATCTAGTCTAATTTTAAAATTATTTATATTACATATTATTTATATTTATATTAAATAATACTTTAAAAGAATTAATGAGATGCTTTCTATAGTAACTTACAGGAGTTACCTACCAAAATAAGGACAACCGGATATAAGAGAGGAATATTTGATTTTTCCAACACATCTACTAGTTCCTGGGTTTCTTGAATAGCCCACCTTTTATCCTAAATAAAAATAAATGTTTAGAATTACTGAGAACATTTATTTCATAAAAATGGAATTTGCAGAACTGTTATTTACCAAAAGAAGATACATCACTTTTTTGCTTTTGGGGTGGGAAGGGGATGGGGTTTGGTTGATTAGCTTATTGTTTTTAATATGTTTTTAATATATACTTTTATTATATTTTCTGGTGAAGTTAGATGTTTGAAAAATAATGAGATTAATAATATTAATAACCCTTTATATACATATATATACACAACCAAACAAAAAAGATTAAGGGTCTTGATTGGTCTCAGATATGGTTCACCTAAAACCAACCTGTTCCCATACATGGACCCAAATACAGATCACAGGCATGCACATGTGCAGAATAGGAAACACTAATTCAGACCACAGTAGCAATGAATGCACAGTTAGGTGACTTCACATATCACAGGCCTCTCCTTATAATAACTCACTTTGATACAACAGTTATGAGAGGAAATTTTAAACTACTTCAGATTTTATTCCTCTTGTTCAAGAATTCATGTCTGGTTAACAACACAGTGACAGAAGTGTGGAACCAGAGGAGAATGGACAGACCAGTATCTCAAAGGTCAAGATTAGTGCACATTAGAAACACCAAATATCAGAATGAACACAGTGCATGAGGACAAAAATAACAAACAACTTATTACTCAAATATTTAATTTTTTATTTATCATTACTAGTAAGTTTAAGTGTAAAATAAAAGCATGCATCCTCACTACTTACATTTACACAAACAAAATTGTAGCACTGTCCTGAAATGATGTTTTGTAGACAGCTATCATTTTTGCTTAGAGATACTGAAATACCTTCAACCTGATTAGACAGAAAAAGAAAAAAAGTCAAAAATTTTAAGTCAGCCTTAACTATCTGCTAAAGCTTCCATCTCTGTAGCAGAAGTTGTTCATTTAAATTATTTAAAACTGGCAGTTATTACTTCCACTACAAAAACTGAAATTTGCTCAAAATTTTGGGGCACTCAACAGTGAAGCATGGAGCCCAACATATGTTGAAGTATGCTGCTCAGGGAAGGCATTCCAAAAACAGCCCTGGAAGCATCAGACATGAGTGCTGCTGCCTGGGTTCGGATGTTCAACTGTTTCGAGAGATGAAAACACTGTCCATAAAATGATCTAATTATTTTAGACCTCTAATTCTGAGAAAACCTCTACAATACTCAGATATACATATTTTGTCTTCATGAAGTTAAAAATAAAATAAAATAAGTATGCAAGAAAGACCAGGTGCACTGGTATTCCAGGATTCTGCCCAGAACAAGAGTACAAGACTTATCTAGAGTTTCTCCTTGAAATAATTACCTCAACAAATATTTTAAAATACTTTCTTAGGCACAGACATATGTATTTTGCAAACTTTAACACAAGCTAAACCAGGTAGCAGAGGGTGAATCTGTTCCCTAAGAGAAGATAACACTTTGAAGAAAATAAAAAATCTTGAAATTCAGGGGAAAAAAATCTTCATATTACTTCCATTAAATCCACAAATCCCACTGTTTCACAGTACAACTGACCATTATTTCTTCCCAAAACACATGTTAAGTATCATAGCAAGCAACAGAAGTAATACACTGCTGTGCTCCCTTAAAATGCCACTTAATCCCCAATCCAACAAAAGTACCAAATACAACATTTAAAAAGGCTTTGCAGTGCTATGTAAAGCTGTATTTGTTAATTTTTGTAATAATCAGGAGCTAACTTGTTTGCAAAGGAAGATAGTTTGAAACCAAGAAGTTGATAGTGATAGTCTAAAGATTTTAGAAACATTTTGGGCTCAAAATTTGATAGCATAGACACAAATAGCTGATATTAAATATTTTAAGATTAATTTTTTTAAAAGTCACAGAAGGTATTAATTACTTTGAATTTCTAAAAATACTTGGAAAATCCAACACTCCAGGGCTCACCTGGCTTGAATCTCTGAAGATGTAAAAGCAGAAATCCCTGGTACCTTTACCACCTTGCACATACTTCAATGAATATGAGCCTACTGCAAGCCAGTGTCTTTTCAGAAGGTATTTGGAACACGACCCAAGGCAGAAGGCCTACTTTTATTTTTTGCTTTGAGGTATTACAATACATGACACTTAAGTTTTGCTGAACATTTAAAAATTCCTTTAGTGTATAATTTTACTCAACAATTTTATTAAGTAACACACTAGCATTTTTTGAGCCCCACATAATCCAGTAAAAATGAAATAAAAAATTTTTGTTGGAAAAGCAAGCACAATTGCCTAGGTAGAAGCTTCAATAAATCATCATTTAACTAAAATTAATTATTATTCTATTTGCCATTTAATATCCTATGCAATAGTACTTTTTTTCAAATTATAATTAATATTAATCAATGTTACCAGCTACATTAGAGAGGAAAAATTACCTAAAAATACCACCTTGATAAAAAGTGATTCTCACATAATGTTTCAGTGTTTAAATAGAAAGGAGTATATGGATTTGCTTAACTACTTCTGGTCCTAATAAAAACTGATATTCTTTAAATTTGTTTAGTTACCAGATGCCCTGTATTGAATTTTTAACTTTATTCAACATCCACTTCCATAAAGTCAAAAACTAATACCAGAACATTTGGAACCTGCAAATTTATTTAAATTATATCAGAATTTAAAATCACAATTAACACCAATGCCACAGATGGATAATTCAATCACTAAAAAATTGGTGAATTTCTACTAGTGAAATGCTAGCTCTTTTTCTATTTGAAAGCAACCTAATTTTTTTAGATCCTATTTATGGATAATTATCCAGTCACAAAAATGGCACACAGCTTCATCTAGTTGATTCCATTTCATGTGACAGCAGCACTTTGTCACTAAAGAAACAGGAGTACATGATTTCCAGTCACAGAAGAAAATACCTTCAGCTCCCATTTAGGTTTGTTTGCTAAAAAGAAAGGGCTAAACAACAAATGTAAGGGAAAGGGATAAACAACAAATGTAAGGGAAAACTCAAGCTATGTCTTTCACAGTATATCTTTGACAAAACATTCATTCATTAGTCATACTGTTTACAGTAACACTGACTAAAGTACTGTTAAAGTATGTCATAAGAAACAGCTGTAGCCTTAAAAATTTTTTAGAAATTATTTTCTTTATCTTATTGGTTAAATTTATAGGTCTTTTTCCCCCTGCTATTTATATTATCATGTTAGTAGAGCCTCTCTCAGAAATCCCTCTAAGAAAATTTCTTTTTAATTCTTCTTTAAGGACATATGTAGAAGTTAACAAATATTCCACAAATAAATACAGTTGCTACAGAGAACTGGAGTGTCAAAAGTATCTAAAATGTTAAAACAGTGGTCCCAGATAATATGTACTCAACAGACTGATTCCCTGTTGGTCTCTTATTTAGATCAATTACCTTCCAATTATACCTTTGAAAAGCTTTCAGTGCAGTACACCTACGTTGCTTAAAATAAGTATTTTGCAAAAATCAAATCTCTCTCACACAAGGTACTGTGCTTCACTGGAGAACAAATAGGCTTGTGCATATATTCTTTCTAAGGTTTGAAATTCTGTATATTGGTAAACTTAAAAATTAACTCAAGAGAATTTACTGTTTAAAAGCATAGGGATAAGTGATGTCCTCCTACTAACAGCAGAATAGTTTACACAGAGATGAAAAAGAGATTTAGCAATGCATCTGGTGTCAGTGAAATGGAGACATACTTCTGCCCCATCATACAGCCATTCAGACTTATTCAAGTCTGCTAATTTTTTTCACTTTTAGATGTAGACAATTAATAGATATAAAGCAAGATTCCATGCTAAATACAGTTCTTCCTGAACAAAAACTTTCAGTGCAATGTCAAATGACACTTGCAGATAAAGGACAGCAATACAGGTTCACAGGGAAACATATCCTTCTAATAATTAACAAACCATGCAGAGGATCAACAGACATGAATAAAGCCATTGCAGAAGTAACATTATGCAAATCAGAAAACTTGAATTTTTGAACAGTTATTCCTGTCTGTTTCTCTGGGTAACAGGAACATGTGATATCATCACATAGTATATAATTAGGAATCACCCCAACACCAGTCTAAGCAATTACCAAATGTTAATCACCTTTGGAAAATGGAAATATGATAGCTCTAGTAGAAAGAATAATGAAAAAGGAAAAGACAGTTAAATGCCAGTAGAACATCCCATCAATATCCTAAAGCAAAGACTCCTAAGAGCATTCACTGTGAGGGAAATGTACCCCTATTGCTCTACAAAAAGGCTGATTAATTTGATTTTGCATTCACAGCTCTGCAGGAAAACAACCTACTCTAATTGGCTCGTACTCCAAGTCAGACTTCAAAGTAACAAAAGCATTTCCTCTGTAACATATTTGTAACAACTTGGGTTTACTGAAATCATAAAATCTAAAGAAAATTTCCTCTCTGTTGTCTGCATTCAATTTCTCCTCTAATCTAATATGGACATTTTAAGTGGATCTGTAAGATGCCCCTCTACAGCACAACTGGAGAGAAGATGCTTCTTTCTTGGTAACTTCCACACCTGATGTGAATCCCCTGTGATAAATACTACAGTGACACAGGAAGTCTCAGTTTCTGTTTTCACATTATTAAAATAATTTCTTAGGAGTAGTGACAACCAGAAACATTAAATTAATCAGACAGTTGAGAGCCATAGAGTTGTACTTACTTTTATTTGGCTTTTCAGAGATTCAGAAAGGAGGAAACCTACTTGTGCAAGAGTTTCCTTCACATTGGTGATAACACAAACTTGTTGTGATAGGTTGTCTGTGATAAAGAAAAAAACCTTAGACTTCATGCAATAATAAATAATTAATCCAAATTACTAATGTGCTAAACATTACCTTCAATCCACATATTGTTGTTTCTTGACAGAATATTATCAACAGCTGTAAATTTAAAGGCTACAGGGTACAGTTAATATAATTATATAATTTATATAATATACATCTCAAAATTCAAATTATATTTTATATTATTTTGTACAACATGAAACCATTACATTAGGTCTGCTCCCAAAGCCCATTTAAATTTATTAAAAGATATTTGTTCAGGTCCACATTGACACTCGATGACAACCAAGAAAACTTTTTGAAAATTTTATCTCTCCTATTACTTCAACAGATAACTAAATGCAGTGTCAGTAATATTGAGTAAATAAGGGGGGGGGGGGGAAACCAGGAGATAGCATAAGTCCTATTCTCAACAATATATACTAAAAAGTTGCCAAAAAATGAATTAATGATACTGTTTAAGGAGACAGCAGATGTAACTCTTCACCTCAATAGCAAAGAAGTTGCAAAGCTGTGACAAACATCTTGGCCTGGGGAATTTCCTAGATCTTTTACTAGGGGCAAAATACAGTATTTTGTTGCTATGAGGAACAGCAGTTGCAAGTTATTGCCTGATTTGTTCCACAAATCCAGTATTTCACAAAATTAGTAATTTCTCTGGTTATTGACATCAGGTTTTAGATTCAGTGAACATTTTCCTTTCTTTAAGCCAACAAATCAAAACTCAAGTCTGAAACTCTCAAGTCTATTTAAGGCCTTTATCTTTTAGATGCTGAATTAACACACAGAACAAACCACAAGTTTCCCAATACTTTTGGGATAGCCATTCCATAAGTGACTAGAAATTTCATACATGTAAAGTCTAATTATTTTTAAAGCAGACTTCAATGAAACTCCAGAGACAGAAATATACCAAACACCACCACAAAATAAATTAGGAGTGAAAGACAAGAAAAATTATAAAAAGATGGGGTAACTGGTCTTCAAACAAATCTGGATATAAACAATATGTATTTGTTGCATATGGAAAGTTATTTCTATAATTACATACCACACAATAAGTTCAATCAGATGCATAACCTCAGTAGTGCAGAAACATCTCACTTTCTATTGTAAACTCACAGACTTCTTTATAAAAGTAGACATAAAGACCTGAAATTTAATTTTAAAACTGCTGCAGAGTTAACACTATTGGAAAGTGACTTGCAATTTTTAAGCAATTTTCTGTGACCAGGAAAAGTGATTTAACCACTGAGCATTCCAACAGATAATTAGAATGATTTTTTGAATAATGGATATTTATTATGTTCAATATTTATAATGTGACAACAAAAATACTGGTGGCAACTGAGTTTGTATTAAGTTAGCAAGAAGGGGAGGGAGGAAGAAAGGGAGAGAACAATAAACATCTGCTTATAAACCATCACAACCAGATGGAAGTGAGAATTAAAAAAATGCATGGCCAGTTCTCACAGGATTGGAAATCAGAGGATACCACAACTCTGGGAGAAATTATCTTCCCATAGATTCACTGGGCAAAAAAAGTATACTGAACATGCATCACAGTTGGCTTCTACTTAATAGAGAATAACTTTACAGTCTGAAAAATGGGAAACCATATTGAATTAATTTCTTATCAGCAGAAAGAAACTAATGGGTAGATTGAAATCAGAGCAAGAGCCACTTGAATTTAGTACTGTACACAACGTGCAGATACAAAATAGATATACATAATAAACCAGACTAGCATATCAGATTTCAAGAACTCAGACTCCATTGAACTAAGTAATTTAATGAAGAAGGTCAGATTGGAGCTATTACAAAAATTCACATGTGGAAGAAGGCTGTGGAATCCAAAAAGGGACCATAACTTAGGCTCAAACAGTTCTTTTTAAAAAGAAGTTTGTAATCAACAGCAAGTGTCAGAAGTATTCTCACAAAAGACTGCTCAAAGGCTGCAGCTATAAAAACCCATCTCACTACTCTCTCCAGCCCTCTTAGATCTCTAATTTCCTGTAATATAAATGAGAAAGGAGAGGCAATTACAAAAAAGCAGCTGAGATTTGCAGGCTGGGTTTAATAAAGAAGAGAGAAAAAAACAATGAAGTGTGGAAAACTGTATTTTTTATCCAGAGAAGAAACAAAACATTGCAAGGGGAAAGTATGTTAATAAAGTAGGAGAACCTTAAAGTAATGATAATACAAACATTGAAAAGATGCTGCATGCTTTTGAACGATCAAGGAAATGAATGAAGGAAGTCTGGAAAACCATCTTTATAAAATCATCATAGTAAAGCAACAGTTCTGTTCTAGTTGAGGTTTGAAACTCAACTACCATTTAAATCCAAGCTATTTTAAGTGGTCAAAAAAGATCCATATGTTAATTTAGACTGCACCTTTGCTGCACTGAGGGAAGGAAGACTGAGTGGAGTTTTCCTCCCCAGGACTGCCTGTGTCCCACTTCTGCTAAGGTGATGGAGCTCTGTCACTCAGTGTAGACAGGCTGAACCCAGTGAGCACAGCTGGAGTGCTGGCTCGTAACTCCAGGGATTCCATGGGCTTTGCTGCCTGCCAGTGAAACTCACTGTGTGCAGCATTTCATTCCTGGTTTTCAGAATTCTGTTTGGGTGAATGAAATATCCATTCTGGAAAGCCATGACATGGCCATGTCACAAAGAATTTTAATACTCAGCTAAAAACATTTTGTTTTCCAATGGACCCCTGGATAATTGAGGCTGGAAGTGCCATCAGGAGGGTCCCTCATTCAAACTCCTTCTCAAAGCAGGATCACCCATGAGGTCAGGCCTGGTCACTCAGCCCCTTACTGCTCTGCCAACCTGTTCACTACTTGATTGTCTGTCAAGGGTGAAAGATGTAATTCTTTTTATCAAGTTGGAACTTCCCTTGGTTGAGTTTTAGTGCTTCCTTCTGTCCTCCCACAATGAACCACAGTTCTACTTAACTACTTTCTGCCATAATTTCTTTTTCTTCATCTGCCCAACACGTTTTTAGTTGTTTTCTCTCACTATTACATTACATATCAAACTCTCTACCTTTCTTTGGCTTCCTCTACTTATTTAACCTTGCTGTTTTCCTGGAAAATGCCTCTTGCTAACACACATCACCCAATTATTGCCAGCTTCATTCCAGCTGTACCTGATAATGGAGTAGTGTTCCCTATTCACATGGATCACATTTGATCCCTTACAACACTTTTAACATACACTCAGAGCATATTTTTTGCAATAAATAAAAAATAGCTTAAACTTTGCACTGTCAAATTTAAATATTAAATTTCCCTATCAGGGGTTTTCTTCATTAAAGTTAAATTTGATACAAGATTTCACAATTTATTCCATCAAACCTTTTTTTTTCCTACATCAGAAAACCTAATTTTCAATTTCTTCACACCCTCCTTTGATATGCTGAAAGCTTTAGATCACATAATTATGCAGCAACACCTGCCACAGTCTTTATCCTAGAATCATACACAATTATAAATTAAAATGTGTTCATGTTTATGGAACTACCATAGTTAGATGGTATATTAAGTGTACTCTGATGGGAGACTTAGAAGTTTACCTTGAAGAGCATGCCACAAACAAGCAGCAATTAAAATAATACTTTGTTTGAATAAAGATAATAAATATAATATCCTAGAGAATTAATACCATAAGAAAAAAAATGCATCTGAATGGCAAATAGTTTTTAGCCTACAGACATAAATCTTTTTCTCTTAATTGCACATATACATGTGTACATACACTTGTTTTTGGAAACATGCTTGTACCACACCATTCTTAGTTTGGTATTACAATTCCTATTATTTTGGAAGCACATCCTAATCATCAAAATGCTTTTGAAGTTTGTAGTGAATTCCAAGTAGTAAATTAATTTATCAGAATTCCATTTGCACTTTCTACATAGCAATGGCTTGACTGGTCAGGAAATTCAGGATGGTTTCCTCTGGCATCTTTAGAAACACCTTTGTTACGAAATGCTGCTACTGTAAATATAAGAAAAATTAAAGAAATACTGCCAAGCATTCATTCACACCTAACAGAATAGTTGAAGTTGTTATTTGAATAATATAGGTAACCAAAAATATCTAACAAATTTTTTTTTGTTATTTACCCATTCCCCATGTCTCTGTAGCCACAAAAACTAAAAATCAAACTTGACACTGACCCTATCAATATTAGTACAGAGGAAAGAAAGGAATATTTTGTGGTAGAAGGCAAGAAAAGAGGGTTGTTTTCACCTGACAGTAGCTATTCCAAGGAGTATTCCCCACCTGCCAGTCTATTTCTTTGGCTCAGAGCTTAGAACAGCCATTTGTTGATGAGCATGCTCATGAAAATGCAGATAAGATCTCTGTCTTTGCTAAACAAGGCTTATCTCAATTTTTATTTTTATAAACAGTCACATAGTTTCTTCACAGAACACAAGTCATAATATGTAGCTCCCAACAGCCATAAACACTTTGAAGGCATTACAATCTTTTTCTCGGCAAAAAAACTTGCAAAAATCATCATTTTATCTGCCTCGACAGATACTTTTTTAGCCAAATGTGATGGCAAATTATCCAATCTGCAAATGCATGCTCTTGTGAAAAAGTAATTTATAAAGTAAGGCCCTTGAGAAAAGAAAAACAAGAAGGAGGAGGACAGAGAGTCAAACTGTAAGTTACAAACTTCTGAGAAGCACCATTTAAGTTTACATGTTGGAACTAGAGTTCAAAGTTATCTACCTTGAGGGCAGTAATCCTAATGGAATTTTTTTAGGATGTTTTGTATTAGCCTGATCTTAACTACATTTCTAGATGAGTCACCCTTATTGTAAGACAATGTTTTCTTACTTCAAGACTATTAAAAATAGGCGTGTACCACCTTGTCTGCATACTCTGCAAGTTTATACCTGCTTAATTAAAGAAAAGCATTAAATTTGCTTTTTACAGAAGTTATAAAAGAGAATTGAGGAAGCCAGGAAACTAAAAAGAAATGTTTTAAGAAAACAATCTCAAAAGAAAAATAACTCATTAGTCTATTTACATCAGTGAAATGTGTCTTTGTGTTGCCTTGAAGAATGATATGCATGCATATAATATCTAAGGTAAAACAAATGCATGTAGGGATGTATATTTTTCTTACTTCCACCTGAGTCAAGTTTAGCAAGGGAGAATTTGTTGAATTCCTGAGGAAAACCAAAATTTTTGATCACTAATAAACTGCAGATGACATAAAATTTGGAATCGTAGTCACAAAATTAAATGTGTACACCCAGAAGTTCTTCATCACTACTGAACTCACCCAGAGATAAAACGTGTATCCAGCACAGTAAACAGGTAACTTAATAATAAACAAATCAGTGTGAAGACTGAAACAGCAGTGGGGAGCAGTGTGAGGTCAGAGCCCTTAGTACCCAGCACCCTCCCAGCCCATGCATTCAGTTTCTGGGCCATCTCTAGAGGACCTTGACAGTATGCAAGGCAGCATTTAGCGAGCTGGTATCTTGCAGCTCTACTTGACAGTCATGTAGGACTTCCTCCTGAGGCACTCTACATGGCACAAGAAGTGATAAGCAAGAGCACATCACTTACACAAGAGCATGTAGTGATAGGGCAAGTGGGAATGGCTTCAAACTGAGATTAGATTAGATTCAGATTAGATATTAGGAAGAAATTCTTTACTGTGAGGCTGGTGAGGCACTGGAACAGGTTGACCAGAGATGTTGTGGATGCCCCATTCCTGGAAGTGTTCAATGCCAGGTTGGATGGGGCTCTGAGCAACCCAATCTAGTGCAAGGTGCCCCTGCTGATGGCCATGAGCTTGGAACTAGATGGTCTTTAAGGTCTTTTCCAACCCATTCTATGATTCCATGATTCTACAATATAACACCACATAGTGGGTTCTGAACTCTTAAGAAAAGCAGACACAGTGATATAGTCAATTACCCAGCTTCTAGGAAAAGCCTAACTGAGCATGCCTAGGCTTGTTGGGATGGTTGCCATTCTCTAAGGTGACCTGTCCTTGAAGGTTTCCCACAGGTGCAGCACAACACAGCAGAATAGAGCTAATAAGATTTCTTCTGTAAAACTAACAACCATAAGACAAAACAAGGCTATACAGGGGTACATCAGGATGATGCTCCAAAGGACAAAAATACATTCTCCCCTTAAATATGATTTAAGTGTGGAATGAACTGTGCATAAATCATCTGTCTAATATTAATTTACATGGTTCAAGTGTCCACTACCAAAATAATTCATGCTATAGTCACCTGAAGGTCTGAGATTTTAAGCCTTTTGAAGGGCACAAAATAGATAAGGCACAACTTTCAAACTGCTGTCTTGGAGGACTAACAGTGCCAATTCAAAACTCCATTAAAGATAATTAATGATGTAAGATAACTCTGTTATGCAGTGTCCTAATTCGCTATGAAGGATTCATTATACTACTTCCATAATGAGTAAAGAACACGTACAGCTTCTGCTTCCTGAACTCATGCAATGCAGCAAGAAGCAAATCTAAACTTCAACAATCTTAAAGTACAGATTGTCATAGAGAACACCATAATAAGACTACTGTGGTAACTGAAGCAGATATATTGCATGCTGCCACAGCAAAGGGACATTAGATAAGTAAAGGGATTAGCCTGATTGACTCCCATGAAGGTCTTCATTTTTACTTTCAGCTACAAAAGTTTTTTATTATAAGCATTAGCTGAAAAAGATTATACTGGCTTTAGGAAAAAGAAAGCTGATTACATAACATATATATATATGTGTGTGTGTGCGTTTGTCTATATACATGCATGTATATATATATATATATATATATATATATATATATATATATATATAAACTAATGTAACAACTAATCTCCTTTAAAGACCTATGAGATTACTGAAGCCCTTGTATACACAGGAGCATGGAAATTCATTTGGATAAAGGTTAGTTTTGTTCCAAGTCTGTAATTTTTTGACCACCGAGGAAGAGTCTTGCTCCATCTTTACTGGAACCCATTGCTTCTCAGAACCAGAAATTTCCAGGCTTCCCAGTTCTATCTTTTTGATTTGTGCCTGAAAAATTCAGTTAAGTAGTTGTAACAATGCATCTAATATGAAATATTTGCCCACTGTAATAACAAGACTGAACAACTAGCCAGTCACTCTCTGTGACCTCAATAGCACACAGGTTTTCCTCAAATTTCCTTAAATATTTCTTTGGAAAGGAAATTTTAATCCAAAGAGAAGTCCCTTTCTCTTCATCAGTTTCTGGGGTTTTATCCCTCAGTTCTCAACAAGGAGTCAGGCAAGGGTCCCCTGAATCACTGCCTATCAGTTTACAATAACTATCTCATTGTACAGTATTTGAGAATTCTTTCTTCCTACATTGTTTTTAGAGCGAGTCTACCTAGATAAAGGCTAAATCCAGTCTTAATGTTAAACCGGCATGAAACCACTGCCGCCAGGGAAAAAAAATGGTTAACACACTGTTCAACAAAATATTTAGAAATTAATGAAATACCTCAATATCACATAACTGCTATATCAATTTAGGCAACAACTGCCTGTATGTAAAACAGAGAAGAGCCCTAAAGAGTTAATATTTAATTTTCACTGTACCATGTAGAATCGAAAGACTAAATATATTCAGAATTGACGTGCAAATGAAAGAAAAAAAATTGCTTATTCCTTATAAGGCCCTTCAAAATTAATCTCTATTTGGCTGTAATATACACAGTCTTTTATAAGGTTCTGTATTCTGAGAGAAGTAAATAAAGATAAATATGCCTAATAGAAAGATACCAGTAAACAAGCCAAAACAACTTGCCTAAGCACATTTTATCCACCACATAACTTTTCTTAAAGACATTTCAAACTATCACACACAAAACTCTTAATTAGAATCAGGAATATGCAAACTGACAGTCACAAGGACAAACACGTACCCTTAATGATTGATTCAGCTGCATACAGATCTCGCTTGTAGGTCACCTAAAGGACAGACAAGCCTCATTAGATTTAACACAGCAGGAAGGAATGTAAAACCAATAAAACAATGCCCTGAAGGCAATTCTTTACATTTTAAATACCATAAACGAGTGATATTGTCAATTTCTTAATTTTGGTAAAATATCACCAGCAATTTATGAGAACAGAAGTTGCAGAAACTACTGGAGACTTGAGAAGACCTCTTTCCCAAACACTTAGATCTGCTTAGAACTCATTTAAAATCTAAAAGTATTTTCAATACTTTGAAAAATCATGAAAACATGATAATGCATCTATTTTTTTACACATCCATTGTACTGTAATTTTACTGCAAATAGATTAATTTTTAACAGGACTTGGGAACAAATTTTTAACAGGAGTTGGGACACATTGACAGCCAGGGAGAAACCTTGTTATTGCTTTTACTAACAGAGGTGCAATCCTTCAGTAGTGCAATACCGTTACTGTTAATGAGAGTCCAATTAACCAGTGGGAGTCAGTGAGACTACAAGTAAACAGTGTGAGCTTTCAGAGAATTGATAAACATCAAATTCTTCTTGAAGATATTAATCAGATCAAGTTAGATGAACAATAAGATGCTGAATATTTACTTGATACTTGCAAAAACACCCTTCATAACTGTCTTTGTACCCTCATGGAGGCTGACAGTCACAAACATAGGCTTTGCAAATAAAATAACAGAGCATTAAAGTCAGCATCTACCCAGGACATTAGCAGTCCTTGCCAGCAATGTCTTCACAATGACAAGCAGTGACTTGAACTGACATGAGTATTAAATATTTGTATTTGTTTTTACCATAAATTCATTTTATGCTAGATAAAATTTTACTGGACTTTCTGAAATTTTTTTTCTCTTGAATCGGAATAATATTTTTTCTTTCTTTTTGAAATGAACTGAACAGGATTCCAAAAGCTTTAGTGCTGCAAGGTAAATCTTTCAGCAGGACACCACTAACAGTAGCAGCATCTTCGTCTCCAAGTGATTACTTGATTTTAACATAAGGATTCTTGTAATCACTTTCCTTTCAATCTCATAAATTAAGCTCTGGATTATAGTCAGACACAGATGAATAACATGATTTCCCCAATGCATTATATTATTTTAAAATGAAAAACTAACTTACTTCCCTACAGTTTGTCCTGGAGGAGGAGGAGCCAGAGAATTAATCTACCCTGATAAATCTTTGGAGTCTGACTTTACATACAGACGTGCACATTACTACTTACTGTTGGGAAGAATCAATATCTTGAAATTAGATTTAAGGCTAGAGTGAGCAACTGAGTGACTGACTTTGCTGCAAAGTTTCTATTCATCAGATTCTCAAGGGCCTTTATACTGAACTTTCAGTAAAGTGAATCAGATTATAATATCAAAACCTATCAAAAAACAAGACTAAAGTCTGTTAGAAATGGTCTCATACCTTAACATTTAGTCTCTTTGAGGTGCAAAAATATTTTTCAGCAGTCTGATCTAAAAAAATGATAGGTGCTGTCTCCGAGAAAAACAACACAGGAGAATAAAAACTTAAGAATAAACCTTTAAAAAAATCTCTTCTGAAATTCTGAGACAGATATCAGTAAATGGTTTGTTTTGTAGATAAATAAATCAACAAAGTCCATATCACATGCTTCATTTGTAATTTTTTCCAAATCTTTAATCCTATAAGATAATTTCAGATACAAGCTCCTATAAGTTTCATGAAAATTGGAGAGTTCACAGAAAAACCCTTCCAGATATCATCTGCAACCACCCCTAAGCAGTCAAGGAGGGAGAATTTCTCTACATCTCTTTCAATTTGACTAAGATGTTAAATTCAATTCCATAAATGTTCCCTATTTATAACAGTTGCACAGAGCTTGAGCCCAGATTTCTCCATAATATTCTAGATGCACTGGTAATACTTGAACATCTCTTTTTAAATTTCATATTTTTGTTTCTCTGACATACAGTATTTTGCCCACACACAGTGTAAACTTCCTGTCCTCTGAATGGGATGCCTACACTACATTTAAAGTCACTGCCTTCCAAGAACAATTCTCTAAATATGACCTACACTTCATTTGTTTTTAACATCAGTTCTTTATATTTAGCTGCAATGAAAAGCATACTCTTTGTTGAAAATATTTTCTAAGTAATCCTTATAAATAGGTTACTTCTCATCAATTACATTTTTATTTACAGATCCTTAAATATTTGTCTTCAAACTTTATCAGACAACTGTTAAATACCTTAGCGACAATAACAGTTTTTGCAGAAACTGGTGAGAATTATCTTTCGAAATATATCAATTATCTAATTTTTCATCTATTTAATAAGAACTAGTACAATTACAGTCATCCTATTTTTAATTAAGACATCATGCAGTAACAAGTCAAACTTCTGCCAGTTGTATGTTGTATCAGCACTACCATCTTTATCAGCCAAGATTTCAGTCTTGTAATAAAGTCTTGAAGTCAATTTCACAAAATAAATAAATTCCATGTTGGCTGACATTAATTACTTTAATCCCCTGACTCTTTATTGATCAAGTTTTGCCTGTAGCAGTGCACCCTTTTGTTTTGTTGATCAATATCAAACTCACAGGCTCCCAATTACTCAAATTCTCATTTTTCATGTGAAAATATTAATTTTCATTTTGTCCTCTTGAACATACAGTGATCCAAGATTTTCAGAATGTTATTGCTGCAATGCAGCATATCACTAGGCCAAATATTAAAACTCAACACAAATACCTCACATGCACAAAATATGAAAACATGACCTGCTTAAAGCAAAGTCAGAACAGTCTTACTTATTAAATATCTCTACTTTTCTGTATAATTAACAATCTATTGTACCTTAATAAAGCCTCAAAAATCAGCAGAGGAGTTTGTTTCTGTGTGTGTCTTTTTTTGTTAATTGCCAGACTACTAGTTTTCACTACCTAGGAAGATGTTGTTTTAGAAGTTATTCCCCAAAATTACTTCCATGTGATGTTTAAAATTCTTCTCCAAACTGATTTAGTTTGATGGATGGTTCAGACTTACAAAAATGTACATTAAATGCAAAAATACAACCCTTTACACAATAAATACAAGGTTATGATCACACACACACAAATGTACTGCATTTCAGTTTAATGAAGTTTTTCCCCTCTTATACTACAACATCGTACAGAGCTCCTTTGTATGAGATAGTTTTGTAGGATTAGAAAATAAACTGTTGTTTTTTAAAAATAGTGAGGAATTTTCACTCTGTCAACATTGTCTATAAATCTGTCTCAATTTTTAAGAAGTGTTATTATACTGAATTTTTTATCTACAATACACACACACACACACATTAGAGTACAACCAACACATTCTGTCAGTTAATTTTTAGACTATTTAGAATATTTAAAGTAATTTTACTTCCAAGGTATCAAACACAGAGAAACTGAAAATGTGGTGTCGATAGAGACTTTATGTTTCTTTTTTTTTTTTGCCATCCCGATCCCACGTATCTTATAATTAGCTATATAATAATTATCTTTAAAATAAACTTATGAATATTTATAACACTGAAGTAATTTGAATCACTTGGTTGTTTTCACTACAAAAAATTATTTTAATTTTGTAATTTGTTCCCAGAAAATAAAAAAAAAACTATCTCCTGCTTTAGCTCCAACAATGACTTTGAAATGTTAATCTTCCTAATGTACAAATGCTCAGGTAGAATAATTAACGTTAATTCAAGCAGATTATATATAAACACACACAATTTTCCACACCTTTGAGTCATTTAATGTTATGTAGGTTGTGCACCTCATGCATAAACTGAATTTTTACAATTATCTGATCTGCTCTTTAAAAATTCATGGTCCACATAGGATGAAACTGGTTTTCAATACACAAACTGTTAATTGACTGCAGTCCTTCTGCTATGCATCCTCTGAAACCTCAACTGAACAATGATTATTTATTTCAGTTTTTATTTATCTGGATGGAACATCTCTTTGCCTTGTCTTGAAAATATAAGACTGGAGCCATTGAGAGAATATCAGTCCTTGGCATATGAAATTTCATTTAGCTCAGGTTTAAAAAACCTATCAGAAAATAATAACAATATATTACAAATGACAGTATTATGACAGCTAAGGAAAGAAAATTGTGTTTCTGATAGCTGATTAGTAACAACAATAGTTCCAAATCATTTTTAAGCAAGGACCACTTGAGGTAACTGTTGTCTTCTGCATTTTATGAAACTGCAGACCAAGCATGACTGTTCTCTAATGCTCCTGCTCTAGGTCACCTGCCAAACACCTCAGAACAGAGTGACCAACACCAGGTGCTGTTCAAGAAGGAGCTGTATTACTCTGGAGGCTCTAAACTGAAATAAGTATTTCCTGCAGAAACAATGTAATATTTTACAGACCTTGTCATTTTTATGCCTTCCATTTTTAATGTCTTTACAAGCCACAGAAGACATCAACAAGTTTTAGCTACAAAATTAGGGCACAGGATGCAAGAAGGTACTTCAATGGCCTGGCACCAGCACCTTTGTGTTCATGTAAAATATTCACTGCTCTGCATTGCCTGCAGCACACTGCCTGCACATAAATGGGTGCTCTTGCTACTGTCACACTGCACAACACTGTCAACACAGAGACTGTGCTGGGTTGACCTTGGGTGGATACCAGGTACCCACCAAAACCGCTCTGCCATTCCCTTCTTCAAGTGGACAGGGGAGAGAAAATATAACAAAAGGCTCATGGGTCAAGATACTGGCAGGGAGAGATCATACAAACCAGATTCAACTCAGGGAAATTAGTTTAATTTAGTTTAATTTATTACCAATCAAATCAGAGTAGGATAATGAGAAATAAAACCAAATATTAAAATTTCTTCACATCACCCCTCCCTTTTTCCCAGGCTCAAATTTACTCCAAATTTGCCTCACCTCCTCCCCTCGAGTGACACATGGGGATGGGAAATGGGGGTTGCAGTCAGTTTATCACACAATGTCTCTGCTGCTCTTTCCTGCATAGGGAGAGGACTTCCCTTCCCACATGTTATCATTTTCCAAATGTTTATAGGCCTCTCTAAAGTCCAGTGCTACTGCAATGGATCCCACATGCCATAAAGTTTAGAGCAACAGGATGTTTAACTTTTTCATAAACAGTGTTGGAGGTGACACTGACACTTCAACAAGTCCCTTTTATAACAGAGATGTGCACAAGTTCAAGTCCAAATTAAATCGGGGACTGGTTACTAGTGCTATTCCTTGGGGCCTGATACTGGGGACAATACAAATATCTTTATTAACAACCTGAGAAAGGGGAAATACCCTCAGAAAACTAGTAGATGATAACAAATGAACAAGTATCCATTCAATATGCTCGAGGATCCAACAGTAACTTAGAAGGCTCCTGAAAGCCTGGAGAAAGGAGCTGAGAGAAACTTTGTGGTCCATAACAAACATAAACACAGAATCCTGCATCTGGGACAGAACTACCCTGGGCAGCAGCAGTCCATGCTGATGCTGAAGTACAGAAAACAACTTTAGAGAGAAGGACCTTCTGAACTGAGCATGAGTCAGCAGTGGGGAGCAGTGGAGAAAAGGAATCCAACAGGGCTGTATCAGTACAGAAGTAGTACTTATTACAAGTAATATAGGGATTATTCCCGTGTATTTGGCCCTTCAGAGAACACTCCAGAGTACTGCTTTTAGCTTTGGGCTCCCCAGTACAACACAAAGAGGAACAGGAGGAAGCCAGTGGAGGGCTGCTAAGATGGTTTGAGAGAACTTGGCTTATCCAACCCAAATTACAGAAGATAGAAGGTGGGGAAGGGTAAATTAATGGCCATAGGGAAGAATATATTGGACTTTTCTTGCAGAGCTTTCTGTTGGCCTTTCTTCCTTTCCCAGTGCAAGAGGGATTAAGGGAAATGTTGATAAAATATTATGAAAAAAGTCCCCATACAAGGTGATACATTAGAATTGTCTTCCCCAGAGAGCCTGAGAAATCTCCCTTCTTGGAGATATTCAAAACTTAGCTGACCAAGGCCCTGCACTGCCTAACCTGGTCCCACTTTCAGCAAGGTGTAGGACTCAATGACATCTATCTATTTCATTCAGACTTTAAATTATTCTGTCATTCTAAGCTACATTTATCAGCTGGAAACCAGTAGTACCTACAGATAACAAAGAACCAGATGAACACTCTAATGAGCTAAATGAGCATTAGTGGTGCATTTTGCTGCCTTTCACATAAGTACCATGCTTTGCAATGCAGAAGATGAAACCATCCAAAAAACTGTGTCATGTAAATACGCATGACATAATCTGTCCCTCAGAAGACTAAATAGCAAAACAGACCATATTCTGTTTCAGGATGACTATATATCCCCAACAAGATAGCAAAATAAGTTCTGCATGCAACCAATGCACAAGTAAATTTTGCTGTTGAAGTGCACAGGAAACTTGCACTGCAGATTCAGGAAACTGCCTTTCTTTTTCATGAAAGATTTGAAGATTTATGGTTATACTATTAGAAATAATGTCTCATTGGAGGAAATTAACTGTCAAAGACAGATGCAGTGATTTAAGCTGCTTTCAGCTCCTTCAATGTGGTAATGAATAAAATAAAATAAATAAAATATAAAAAACTTTAAAACTGCTTGATGCAACAGCTACTAAAAATGAATAATGTCCCACCATCCAAATCAATGACATGCAATACTTTGAAGTAGAAGGGACATATGCTTAGGCGTATGTACACACAGCTGCTTTGTCACTCATCAGGAAACTACCAGATTACCAGACAAGGTAAATAATGCTTAAATATATGTAAAAGATTATTTGAAGAAGTCTTAAATATTACAGTGTTACTGAATGTAATGAGCCACCCTAAAATTAAAATTGTTGATAGCCAGATATTTGCCATGAGAAAAAAGAAAGTGATGTCCTCACAGGAAAAGTGGAGGAAAATAGACAAAAGATCTAGAAATAGCATGAGAAAGCTCATATCATAAAAGAAAATTATTAGTTTTGGAGATTACAGATTTACAGATTCTCAGGTCATTCAAATACCTAGATGTTTTTCCTATTTACAGGAAAATGCTGTCTTCATTGATTATCTCAAGTAACACCTGCCCAAGTCTCTCTACAATAATGAGCTCTAAAAAGAGCCGAGACAAAACCAATTCTGAAAAATGAAATATAAAAGCCTAAATTACAATTGAAAACACATCTGAATTTTTATGGTAATACGCAAATTTTATTAATTTTAAATCATATATATATATACATATAACTAGATATTATTATTGTCTTTACCTTCCAGAGGTCAGCTGTTCCTTCAACAAGTTTGGCATTTGTTTTACAGTATTTCAGAGCCAGATGCAAACATTCAGTTCCATAATCCAGGTCATAGTCTGTACACTGTAGTAATTAAAAAGAAAAAATATACTAAATTAGTCTTAGATACTTCTAAGCAATAACACATTTTCTTTCATTAATGAAACCTTACATCTCAACAGTCCTATCCACAGTAACACATCTGTATTAGGCACATAGGTTAAGCATGGATCAGAAATAAAACCATTCCAAGAAGCTTATTGTGGATATTCAGGAAAGTCCTACAGAAGTAAATAAACACTTTATAAGCACAGATTAATTCAGTTAGGTGCTGCAAGTACTTTGCTAAACCTTTACTTTGTTAAATAAATGAATGAGAAGTTACATGAATAAAAATATTCTTGATGGAGTTGAGAGAGGCCTCACTAATAGACACCACTGACCTTCCAGCGACACAACTTCAGAGTAGAGGAACAATTTAATAGATGAAGAAACATGACTCTTCAAATGCTGTTTTGGTTATTGCAGCATCAAAAAAGGGATGGTAGTAACTAAGAACCTCCATATTCCTTATGTGATTCCCTCTTTCTCCAGTTATCTGCACAGAAAATAGCAGTCCCATGCTGCTACATGAGCCTTACTGATTAAAAAAAAAAAAAAATCAAACCACACCAAACAAATGTTTAGCTATCTTTTAGTCATCTAGAAAAGATATTATTCTCTTGACACACCATTCCCAAGCAGTTTGGCTTCCTATTGATACTGATTATAAGAACCTCATTAAGGAAAAACTGAGTAGGGAGAAGAATATCCTGAGCCAAAACACAGGTGAAAAAGCAGGAACTGGGAGCTTATCAGTCAGGACTACCTCAAGATGAATTAGCCTAGGATAAGGAAGTTCTACTCTATTTTCATATTGCTAAATTAGCAGTCCATCCAGAAACACAAATTCCATGTAACAAGGAAAACTTAAGATAACATCTTGTATTTAAAAAAAAAAGGAGGAATTTCAGAAGATCACAGGCTGGCTCGCCCACTGTCCAGTCTCTATTTCAGAGTGAATTGTCAACAATAAGTAATAATGAACAAGGCATTAATATGTTCTTACTTTCCCAGAATGCTCCCTTTGCCTCCTATAAAGCTATTATTCTGCCTTCAGAAATCCCTATAATAAAAAGTCCCTGAGGGATACACTGAACCAGAAGCAACTGCCTTAACAGCACTCAGTGAATTACAGGAAAACTAAATTTACCCAATTATTTTTTGAATAGCAGTATTTTTTAGCAACTGCAGCAGGGAGTATCTCATTCATCACTCTTTTCATCACATGCTCTGATATTCTAACAGAAAAACCACCTTCTCAACTCTTCAAAATATTCCACCACATCTCACATCTTTCCACAGATAAAGACATCAATATCTATTCAGTCATTTCATGTGTGGAAAGTACTTTAAAACTTTGATCAACCCTTTTGCCCTTTTACACTTAACTATGAATTTTACCATAAACAAACAAAACAAACAAACCTTCTCAGTTAGCCCTCATCACTACTATGAGGAAAAAAAAATGCACACCTCCACTGCCTGTTTCAAATTGTTTATGAACAAAATAACTGCAGAAGTCTCAGTACAGACCATCATGCAACTCCAGTGGTGATTTACTGCAATGAAAACTGGTCATGCACTTGACCTTGTTTCTTATCTTCTAACAAATAATCTCCTCTACTAAGTCTCAAATCTTTAAATTTCCTTCAAGAGTCTTCAGTAAAAGCTTCTGTGAAACGTCTTATTAATGCACTTAGGTTGTTATCACCTCAATCAACCTCAAACAAGATGCCAGTGAAGTCCTTAAAGAATGACAATTAGCTCTGCAATACATAATCTTTACTTTACAAACAATTTCACCATGTCAAATTTAACCACATGTCTACAAATTCATGTTTCAAAGATACTGTGCTCAATAGTTTCCAGTCCCCTCCAGGATTCTAGAAACCAAAATCGTTAAGCATGTAAAAATTTCAGTGGATTAAAGAACCAAAGTTCTTTAGAGAGAGTACTGCAATACAACCTGTCATTCTATTAATTCCTGAAGAAGTTTATTAAAACAGATGAAGAAAATTTTTAGTTTCTATTCTTGTTTTATAATGTATCAGTGAAATTCAAGAAATTCATTGGCATTACACATCTGAATTGCAATACTCATACACACAGACATCCTAGAAAAAAACATAACTATCACTTTTATGTTATTTAAATCACTGAATTCTGACATTTTAATTTGCCAGCCAACTTAGAAAGGTACTTTAAATGTTATTGCTCTTTACAGTTTTTTAGCTTGAGTTACAAAACATAATGGACACAAGAACACAGAGTAACTTAAAAAGGAAAGAATTTCAAAAAACCACTTTGGAACATTTTTATACTAAGCAGAAATTTAAATATACAGGATACAAAAAAGGTCAATAAAGAAGACAAAAGAAGAGGGAACTCTATCTCCAAAATACATAAAAATGCAGTGATCCCTTAAGTAAAGAAGAGATAAAGTGCCAGTAAAACCAGAAATGGCCTACTAACTTTCAATTCCAAATATTTATTACCAAAATTATTCCTTCTTCCACTTTTTTTAAGAAAAATTTTCTGGTAGAACACAAAAAAATTTCCACTAATGTTAACAACATACAGACTAAAAAAAAACCATGCGTTTTTATTTTTGCTTCAGAATGGAAGAGAAAATTTCAGGAATAAATTCAGCTGTGAAGAATTTACTTGAAATATAACATTTTTAAATATACAGGTAATTAATGCAACTAGGACAAAACTAAGCAATTCCAACTTTTTAGCAAAGTATTAATCACAGATAATTAGTAGGGAGTGGAGAAGTTCCATAAATGGGCTAAGGCATCTTGAGCGCATTGCTTGCTTCAAGGGATGAAATATGACACAAAGCAAAGTAATAATTAAAAACATATTTCACTAACACTTGTATATCATGACATTTACCACTCTAATTATCTGTAATTGTTTCAACCTAAACATATTGTCAGAGTGTACTGTTCTCCAAGTCTGATACACTGATGTCAGAGGAGAACAATGAAATGAAGTAGCAGCACAAGGCCAGCTGTTTATATACCATCTCATGCTGAACATCTTCATATGTGAAATTTTAAATCCATATATTTAAAGTGCAGAATTCAACAGCTTCTATACTGCCCTAAGAAATTCAGTTAACAAATTAAGCATTATTAGAGAGCACCTATAAAAAACATCCTGCATCAGGCACAGCATCACCAGCCAATCAAGGGCAGGGATTGTCCCGCCCTGCTCTGCACTGGGGTGGCCTCACCTCGAGTGCTGGGGGCAGTGTTAGGGCACCTTAATATAAAAAAGACACTTAACTATGAAAGAGTTTCCAAAGGAGGGCAACAAGGATGCTGAGGGGCCTTGAGGGGAAGCTGTATGAGGAGGGGCTGAGGTCACTTGGTCTGTTCAGCCTGGAGAAGAGGAGACTGAAGGGAGATCTCATTGCAGTTACAACTTCCTTACACGAGGAATCAGAGAGGCAGGCACTGATCTCTTCTCAGTGGTGATCAGTGACAAGACCCCAGGGAATGGCCTGAAGCTGTATCAGTGCAGCTTTAGGTTGGATAGTAGGAAGTGGTTCGTCATCCAGAGGAAGGAACAAACTCCCCAAGGAAGCGATCCAGCACCAAGCCTGGCAGAGTTCAAGAAACATTGCAACAATGCTCTTAGGTGGTGGGACTACTGGGGATGTCCTCTGCAGGGCCAGGAGTTGGATTCAGTGATCCTTATGGTCCCTTCCAACTCAGGATTTTCTATGATTCTAAGAAATCCAGAATACTTGTGAAGAAAATTCTTACTGACCCAGGTATACAATCATTCTCATTCCAAGTCTTCTGTATGTAATTCGGTGTACATCTAGATTGAACTAACAATACAAAAATCTTTTTAAAACTCTTACTCTTTCTAAAGCCCCTTTATTACTGAAAGCCTTTTTAGCATAAGTTTGACAGTGTACAGTTAACTGAACTTGACATGCACACATAGCTTTGCGAAACAATAGACATAGTTTAAGTTTCAGACCACAGATTTGAAATGATGGAAACAGCTGGAAATATTGGCACAAAACATATCCACAAAAGAAAGAAAACATAATAGTTTAGCTCTTTAAATGACACAGAAGGAAATATGTTACTTAAAAATGCTTTTGTACTGTTGAATATTCAAAGGCATTCTAATAGGTAGCTTTGGGGACACTTTTTTGTGGGTAGTTTTTTTTGTTTGTTTTCCAAGAGTGGATATTTGAATAAAGTGCTACGAGTGGAATGAGATACAGATTTTAGCAATACACAAAGTCTTCTTCCTCTTCCCCCAAATTTGTTTGAAAACATTTTGAAAAATAGTACTACTTCCTAAAATGCAAGGTGTAAACATAGAATAAGAGGCTAGAGAAAAGAGCAGCTATGCAGCCTGTGTCTCCCTGGTATTTAATTTACTGTATCTTTATATGGGAACTGGCAATCATAAAACAGAGCCAGCACAGATTAAAAAAAAGGTTCAATACAGGACTGTTATTTTCTTATATTTTCATCATTCCTTAGTTTATAATGACACAAAACAATATTCTTTTATGCATGAACTGAAAGAAAAATTTCAGATATGCTCCTTTATACAGGTATCTTTAAAGCCTGTGTAGAGACAGTGTTTTCACTTCCCTAACCCTTGACTGTGCAATCTTTAGCACTTTTTCCACTGTCAGCAGCCTATCCATTTTATTCTCCCATGTAAATCCATTCAGTAACAGTATCAGAACACTTGCCCTTAAAATGCATAACTAATCAACAAGAGCAGAGCCTTAGGATTTTTCCAGATCCTGGCAAATCAAGTTTCCATGGCTGAAATGCCAGAATACATCATGAACATTCATCATCAGGAACATTTTACTGAGTTGAGAAAAGAAGTAGACACAAACTCTCACTGAACCTGAATTGGCCCATTTTTATAATATTTTATAAAGATTTTTTTTGCCATGCTCATTACCATTGAAACCAAAAATTGCTAAATCC